GGTTAGGTTAATAAAATTTTTATTTTTTTTCATGTTTCTTTATTCAATTATTTCCGATGATCTGCAAGTGTCCTTATTATTATATTTATGACCAGGAAGCGTATTGTGATTAAAATAAGAAAATATTCAAAAATTTATATGAAATACGTTCTTGAGCGTTAACCGTTAATGTTAAATTTTTTTATTTTTTTTATAATTATTAATCAATTAAATAATAATAAAACATAATATATATAATTTTTATCGCGTGTTCAAAACTTAAAGAACCCAAAGATATATCTAATATTCTATAATAATAATAATAGCAGCAATGGTAGTAGCAATAGCAGCAGCAGTGGCAACGATAATATTATCAATTTTTCTAATACTTAATTTCTATATCTCCTTCAGCCGGGGCATCCAAATCAACATATGATTTAACTTGACGAGGATCAGCACTAATAACAATAGCACAATTCGATTTAATTTATGTCCATATATAAAACTTACTATCATTTCAATAATCTTACCTTTGTTTACCAGGATTCGTTTGTCTTCTTTTATCATTAATTCTTTGTCCTCTTTGACCATTACCATCTTTGATTTCAAAACCAATCCTTGGAATTTGATCATGCGGAGTTCCAGCTGCCGCCCCAACAATTGTTGGGAAACTGAACCCCATAAAAGGTGGTGGTGGTGCATTAGTCATTACAGGAAACGGATTAGGTGGAATTGGTGTAACATTCTGAGGGACATTAAGCGTTGCTGTTGGATTAGGTGGCGTGGTCGGAAGTAAATGATTGGGATCAAGCACATAATTATTATAAAACTTAATCTAATAAAAATATTATGGTAATTTTTATTAATAATTATTAGGTAAAATAGTAATAAATGGTGATTTTATAATTACCTCGTTTGTAGTAACGTCAATTTTTGCGTTGTGCTTATAATCAATATGCTTTTTAACAAAATCAGCTCCCTTGAATAACTTGGAACACAAATTACATTTAAACTTACGGCCAGGGTCAACCTCAATCACATTCTCTTGATAAAATTTATCAAGAACTCTATCAAATGAAAATAAAACCAATCGTTATTTTTTATAAATGATAATAAATGATAATGTTGATGATAATATTTAATTTGTAAGTTATTAACATACTGTTGAATACTTTGTCCGCCTTGTTTTTCAACTTCTTCCTCAAATTTCCAAGGTTCAGTTTTATAAGCAATCTTATTTTCCAAAGTCTTCTGCCATTGAGTTGCTTCAAAATAAAATGCAATGTAATAGAATAATAAAACGATCAATTTTATTCATGTATCAGGCAGAACAAGCGACATATATGTATTATGATGGCAACATACCATTAACTTGTTTATCCTTGGTATTTTTGGAAGGATTTTTTGTATCTGTTCCAACTAAACTTCTCAAATGACGGCCAGGACATTTTCGTGAAAGTTCTTCAATGGAATCAGATTCACTTCCACAATAATAACAAAATAGATGAACACGTCTTAAATATTCAATATACATATCTAACGTTTTTTTAACCTGAAAATATTTATTTATAATAAATAAATAATTTATTAATACTTCTAATATATATACACACCCACAAATAAAAGCATCAAATAACCTACTGTATTGATTTCTTCTGGGTCTTCGTTTTTGAGAAAAACACCAATTCTTTGCTTGATCAATTTACTTCCATCAAATGTATTAGAATCTACATCATTATCAAGTTTTTCAATGAGTTTTTGTGCTGAAATTAAATCTTTTTTTAACCTTTCTGGTGTATTAGCAATTTCGGGTGTAATCCGATTACGAACTGGCCCGCTTTGATTCTTATGCCGAGCAAGATAAAAAACGAATTCATCAATCTATATTTATATATAAAATATATATAAAATATAATTAAATATAATATAAATTAATAATAAATATAATTCTAACGGATAAAAACTGTACAATAAATGCATATTTATTTGTTTACTTTTTTTTCATTAAGTTTTTCATACGCACTATCCATGTCTGTATCCTCTTCAAAAACAATCCATCCAAGACGGTGAAATTTTTTTTGAGGGTTAGGCTCAGAAAGTGCAAGATATTTAAATCCAGGAATTTCTTTACACATCTTTTTAATTAAATTTAAAATACATAATTTAATTAATTGGAATTAAAATTAAATAAAAAAAAAAATAATTAAATAAATACTTCTTCAATTTTCTGTCTTGGAATATTTGGCGAGACACTTTTTATAAAAAGTCTGTGAGAATCTTCATTAGATTCGATTTTAATATCTAGCTTGGCATCATTATCTATTATTGAATGAAAGAGTAATTATAATTTAGATAAATAGAAAAAAGAAATATTTATATAAGTGTGAAGAATAATAATTACCCTCTTGTTTAATAGCGATGGCAGTAGTGGCTGCAGTAGTGGCAGTAGCTGCAGTAGTTGCAGTAGCGGCAGTGGCAGTGGCAGTGGCAGTGGCAGTATTTGTAATTGTAGTATCCTCTTTTTCCTCAACGACATCATTACTAATACTATCAAGTAATCCTTCCTTTAGATCAGAAATAAATTGTTCGTACTGCTTCTTTTTCAATTCTTTCGTAATAGCTATCCTGGGCTCCATATATTTAGGATGATATTTCTCAAGAAACCATTCTTCTTTCTGATGTGCTTCAAAAAATGTTTTTAACTGCTTGACAGCAAATGCTTCTTTGTATTCATTGTATTTCTTGTGTAGTTCTTCATCACCAGGTCTGGATTTTGGATTGGTATACTGCATAAAATCTGAAAAGTATTTAAATGTAACCAGAAAGTCTAGTTGATCCGGATCTTTTAAAGGTTCTTGCCTATTTATTAAATGCGATTTATTTATGACTAATAAGTTATTATTTTTTTTAAAAAAAAAAATATATAAATAATATATATTTCATTATTACCTTCCGGTTGGACCTGCCCAATCCATTGGCATAATAGGTGCCCCAGGAGGAAGCATTTGTGGATTTGGGACATTAAATCCTATAAACAAATTTAGATATTATAATTATTTTGAAAATTTTTAAAAAATAATACAAAGTAATCAGTTAATTGTATACCCATTTGCATTACAGGATACCCAGGTGGGGCAAATCGTACTTCTGAAGCTCTACCATGATATCTGGGGGCTGGTGTATAACCATCTTTATCATAATTTGGTACATAATGATCCCCTCCATCAGGTAGTGGTCTTCGTTGATCAGGAGTTATGGAACGACGTCTTTTAGGTCTACGATCTAAATAAAAATGCATCAATTAATTAATTAATGAAAAATCAATTTTAAAATATAGTACAGAAGAATTAAAATATAAACTCTTGTACCGTTTAATGGTGAATCATAGTTACCTCTGTCTTCTGGTGAAGAATTGTTTTCTCTTTTACGTCTATCGACGTATAGTGCTCTTTCCCTATCACGTTCCCTATCACGTTCCCGATCCCTGTCTCTGTCACGTTCTCTATCTCTATCACGTTCCCGATCTCTATCTCTTTCACGAAGATCACGATCACGAACGTCTCTACGATCAATACTATTTCTCCGTTCTCTTGTAAATTTGTCACGACTATGGTGTGGACCTTCATCATCAGAATGATCAATTCGTCGTTTGGAATTCATCTTTTATTAAAAAGAATTTTAATAGTGATGGTGGTATTAGTGGTAGCGGTATATAAATATAATGGATGAGAGAATGTGTTGTTGAAGTGGTTGTTGTAGAAATAGTTGTATTTGCGTGTAATAATAAAATGGTTTGACTTCTATCGGTTAAAAGTGCGGAAGGATTTATTTGTTGTAGAACAAGGTTGTCTATTCTACATAAAAAAAAATAATTATAACGAATCCAAAAGTCAAAAAAATTTTTTTTTGAAAATTTGTGAGAAAACATGCTTTTTTCTCATCTTGATATGTTTAGCTTGAAGGTATTGATTGTTGATATAATATATATATAAATATATATATAATATGATTTTGTAATAAGAATGAAAAGTTTATGTGAAAAGAATGGGATGGATTAAACAATTAATTTTGAAAATTAAAATTGAAATTAATATCAAGGTTCTTATATAGTTTTTAACTAAGAGAGAGTAAATAAGTAATAAATATAGAACTTTAAGAATTCTTTAAATGTGAAAAGAACGCAAAAAAGTTTTTTTGACAAGTACAGTTTTTTTTCATAATTTTTTTGCTAAATTATTTAAAATATTTAAAAAGATGATTAAAGGCAACAAAATAAACGACAAAGGACTTTTTAATAAAATTAAGTTTTCAAATGTTTGTTACTAGAATGTTATTAAATCTTGTGCTTGTTGCTAATGCAGCTTGACTCACTCACCAGATCTGTTCAAAGTCAAATAAGTCTACTTTTTCTTTTTTACTTTCATTTCTGTGTTATTTATATATATGGTAATACCTTGTTGACGTCGTTGATCAATTGCGTGTAACATGACGATTTGGACAGGGAGGGTCATGGACAATTATAGACGGGGCGTGCTGCAGTGGATATTATGTCACATAATAATATGCAAATTCTCAGATTTGTTTAATATTAACATCTCTTTTTCCATGTCCTTTTAAAAGAATAATGGGGGTAATCAAGCCAAAGGTATAGGATTAAGCAAGTCTGAAGTTGTTTTCACATTACCCTCTTTTTTTCTTTCTACGGTGCGGGTCACTCTAACACATCAAATTCTGTGCAAAATGTTTCAAATTCAAAAAAAAAGCAAATTTTTTTTATCACTTTCATTACAAAAATGACATTTTTTAATTTTTATCACGTGATTTTCCAAAAAATGCATTTATATTAATTCATCAATTTCTTCTACAACATTATCTGG